AACAGGTTTCCCTGAAGAGGAGCCAGATGCTTGGCACTGTCTTTTCCATCTTAAGAAAAAAAGGGGAGTGTAAGACAACTGACCACTGTTGTCAAAACTCACATGTCATTGGAAATACAAGGCAGAGGCTTTTCTGGCTGCTTCAGTTTTATCTTCTGTCTCCTTTCCTGCCTGCCCTGCCCCCATGGCTGCAGTAGGCATTCAGCTGCTGCACGGGTTTGTCGTGTGGCCAGCCCTCCGAATTTATCTTTCTCATATGGCCAAATAACTTCATCCCCGTGGCAATTTGCTTGAATTAAAGAGCCTGGCGAATGCCGTTGAGCCTGGGGATACAGTATGAAAATCAGCGGTTGCTTCGGTGAGCAATTACGCAGTGAAACAGCTATCAGCTAGAGGAAGAGGTGGCCAGGCTTTCATGGCTGGGTGAAAACCTTCGTCCGTGGACTTCCCTATGTAGTATAAAGCTTTTGCAATATAGAGCACCTTTGATTACAAATGTGCACGGTATTTAAAATTAGTATCAGCTTTTACTGAAGAATAGTTTTGTAGTACTGCTGATTCAAAGCACTAACCTTTATAGAATGACATGCATAGAAATGAGATTAGGAATCCTTTGTTGATTCCCTCAGCCCGGTAGTCTGACTTGTGCTGGGTTGTAAATTGCCGACACACAGAATTTATTTAGCCTTATATTGATCAAAGCTGTATTTTTATCTGGAACGTTTTAGAGCAGGAATCTGGCTTAACGCACAGAAGTTTTATGGGTTGCATCAGAAGCACCGCTCTGTATCTTCTGGTGGGTATTGTGTGTGGTTCACACATGCAGGAGTAATATTTGCCACCTTATGTGAAATTTTGTATGTGTCTGAAAATGAGTCTGTGAACTGATAATGATTTTGCCCTGGAAAACTGGAAATAACGTAGTGATTTATAAATACAGTTGTAGAGAAAATAAACAAACCACATACTAAAATCCTCCCAAATTAAAGTTTCCACAGAGTTTCAGTGATTTGTTTTTATAAAATTGCTGTGACATTTCATGAACACAGTTTCCAGCTCCATCCGTATGGCTGTAAAGAGTTATTTAGGTATTCACTGGCATGTCTTTTATATGGCTGTAGAGGTGGGATTGAGGCTGCAAGTAAATGTAGTTCAGCTGTTGACTGCATGTCTTGCACTCTAACATCTTTGTGCTTTGACGTGCCTGTTAGGGCACAGCAGGAGCAATCACCCCATCCTTCAGAGCTGTGGTCCAGGCTGCCAGTCTTTCCTCTTTCAGTGACCTCCTTTGGCAGGTACATGTGGGAGTTGAGAAATTCCCTCATTAAAAACCTGCCTGTGTCATAATACTCGTGGGACTAGAACAAAGCTAGCTACCTCCCTTGGGACTAGTGCTATGTTTTTTTTGAGCTCATTCTTTAGATTAAGAAGGTAATTTCTTTTTTTCAGTGTCGTCAGTTTAGATGGTATTTTGTGGTTCTATCATATACCTGTATATATTTAGAAAAAGCCACAGTGATATTTTGTAGCCGTGGGAAACTTCCTGACTTCTCTGGCAGGTTGTGGCAGTTCAATATTTGAACTGGCTGATCTCTCTAATTCCTCTTTCCGGCTGGCCCTGTGACACTTTACAAACTCCAAAGATGCATGTTTAAAAAAATAACTAGCATGGTACTGTCTGAGCAGAACCTTCCCAAAATCACTGCCCTTGCACTGCTTTTACCAAAGATGCATGTTTAAAAAAATAACTAGCATGGTACTGTCTGAGCAGAACCTTCCCAAAATCACTGCCCTTGCACTGCTTTTACTTGCCCAACCTGGAGATGGGTTATGTCAGGTCTCAGCAGGTCAAAGGCAGAATCAGTCTATTTTTTGCCTTAATCTTACGACCACAGATATCTGTGGGACAACCACATAGCCTTGGTTTCATGCACTGGCAGAAGTCTGTATTTTCTTCAGTGTTTATACTTTTGTTTGTGTAAATTCTTGATATTTGGTACTATCTTGATAGTAGGTTTCCTCAATCTTTGCCCTTGGGTAGTACCTACTGTTATGATGAGCGCATAAGGGCTCTTTAATGGTGTAGAAACATAAGGGCTCTTTAATGGTGTAGAAACATAAGTTAACAAGGATGCATCCTGCTTTGATCTCAAATTTGCATAAAATAATTCTTATTTGGGGAATGAGTGTGAGTCTGCTGTTATGTTTTTGGTTCTTCAGATTTTATTTGAAATGCTCATTATAGGTTGGAAATGTAGGACGTTCTTTTAAACATTTTGGTTCTGGGGTTATTAGATTTAAACTATCTACTGTGAAATACCTAAGCTCAAACAAAAATAAATGAATGCATGAGGGTGTGCAAGGAGCTAGTGCATATTCCAGCTAATGAGCATACTCAGCTTTTAAGGGTAAAGAAGCCACTTGAATAGATTTAAGTTGACTATATGCTTGGTGATTGCTGCACTGCTCTTCCAGTGTGACAGACTGTGGTGAAGTGGTGTACAGCATGTCAAGATTTGAATTCAATTCTGGAAATAAAAATACAGTGTCATTGTGCTGAGCTCCAAGCACAGTATTTTTGGGGAGGGCAAGGAACACATATACAAGCTGGTCACTTAATGTGGATTTGTATAGGAAGAGAGCTGTTGGGTAACTCTATGCTATGTTTTTTAAATATGGTACACTTCTCAAACCTGCTCCCACAGACAAAATCTTTAGAGACCCTGAAGAGTCTCTCAAGAATAAACCTTGTAGTGCTCACATTTGTGGTCTGTGTATATATACATTTTAATACTACATCCATGGATTATGTTTTTTCTTCAATTCTGTACTTAAGCTTTTTATTTCACCTTGTCTGTGCCTTCGTTATACCTCTGAGGACTGTTTGAAGATACCCTGAGACTTGAAAGGCATCTATTGACAGGAGGGAATAATGAGTTGGCTCTTAAATATGTTCAGTTCATGGTATTTTATAATTAGCTGTGTGAACTTTCAGTGTTTAAAAAAAGGAAATAGGAAATGGCAATTAGGCAGAACTTTCAGTCTTCAATCACATATATACTGCATTTCCATTGTTACTTACAGCTTTAAAGAGCCTCTCTGGAGGGCTGTATGTTAAGTAATTCATATTATTTAACCCTTCATTATGAATTGCATACAATTAATAGATGACATATACAAATAATGATCTGGTTAATAGAAACTCAGTTCCTGAGAGCTGAGACTAGTTTCCTTTCAAAGTTTTAAGCTTGGTTTTGATTATTCTTTGCAAATTCACTAATGTTATATACTTATCTGGCACTGGATCTTTGAAGGCAAAATTGAAATCCAGTTTGTGAGCAAGATAATGAAAATCTATGCATAGCTCTTCCACTCCTGTGCAACTAAACAACCAGAAATGTGGCAGTCTTAATTGCTGCATGTCTGGTGCTGCTAAGCTGTTCATAATATGGTAGGTTTTTAAATAAAATAAAAACAAAACAAAAAAACAACACAAAACCAACAGCAACCAAACCACAAACAAAACCCCCTGTTGTTATGTCTTTTATTAAACATAAAATGTGTTTAAACATGCTTAAATATTGCACATAGCTGAACTATTGAGTGATCTTGATTTGAAACCTGTTGTAATGGTTGGGCTGGGGGAATGGTGGGTCTAAGCCAGTTTGTTTCCCTAAGGCTAGCAATTTTCATGCAAACGTTTTGAGGATCAGCACTAGCCTGTATGTGCTGACTTACTGCTTAGAGAGCTTGTTTGGAGAACAAGCCAGAGCTGTTCGCTCACCTATCGCATTGGTTTTGATAGTACGACAAAGTTTGAAGTAAGCGTAGTTGGGAAAATAGGGTTCAAATTGGAAATAATTCCAGTTAAAAAAAACCAAAACAAAACAGGGGTGAATAAAGAATTTAGTGTATGTCAGTAGATACGTTTTTTCTTAGTCTGGTAAGTTCAGATGCTAAGCGTGGAGGCCTTGAGGCCTTTGTGGCTTAGGTGGAGAGACAGGAGAGGAGCCTAAATGCAACCCAACTACTTAGGCAGGGCAAGTTTGCTAATCCTGGCTTAGGCTTGGTCACACCAGAAACCCTAAACGTGATTTGTCATTATCTGAAGTCTGTCATGAGACACAGCAGGATGCCTGAAATATGCTTAACCCCAAAGGAAAGCAATCCCAATTCTGCCCTTGGGTCATGCTTGAAGTCCCCATGAGGCCAGTGGAAAGAGATGGTAATGGTGCAGCTGCACACCCCAGTTTGGTTTCTTAGGTTCGGTGCCAGCTCTTTGGTCTTCACAAGCACCCAATATTCTACATCTCCCTGAAATAATAGGATCAGGAATAGAATTTGACTGAAGGCTGAGACTCTGCTCTTTTTATCTAGATTTCAAAAAATAGGTCTTTAATTCATCCTGCTACTAAGTGGCACAACATTCTCTCTTACTTTAGTACATCTATACAGAGGTACCACCATTGTAGTTTTTTTGTCTAACATGTGTCTAGTATTTTCCCCTAACTGTGGTTTGTGAATATAGAAGTATCATTTTCATAACATTACATGTGTGCTGTAAGAACTGGGCTTCTCTTGAGGAAATGCTAATTTACACAAGAAATTTATTTTAATTCTAATACATGGTGTTGTTTGTATGCAACTGTCCCATGTTTGCCTTTCTTAGAGATACTTTTCTCACCATTATATAAACCAAAGGTGACTGTCTTTTAACTATATGTATCAAAACCAAATACACCTAACATGGGAGTTAGTGTTTGTAATAAAATTGTTGGCTTTTTTCCACATTAGCCTTATTTTTGAAGTGTGTGAATTAACTTTCTTAATATCTGTGCATATGCCTATGAAGTTAACTTATATTCACATCCACAGTAGTTCATTAATTTGCAAAAGATCTTAAGGGCACCTTTTTTTCCACAAGCGAAGCCTTCTTCTATTTCGTATATTTTGCCTTTTCTGTTCTGTAATGAGTTGCTTTGTGTGACAGGTGGGAGATTCAAGAAAGAGATAGTAGTTGATGGACAAAGCTATCTGCTGCTGATTAGAGATGAAGGAGGCCCTCCAGAGGCACAGGTGAGCATTGCATATATAGAGCTTTATCAGCCTAATACCACGGTTTCCTTTTAACACATCTTCTTTAAGAGAACCTGGCTTTGTTTTCTTCTTTCCTGGCTCCTGCACATCTTTCTGCTGGGAAAAAGTATACGTTGCCCCCAGGTGAAAAACAGTCTGGTTAGAAATTATTGGGGATTTCAATTACATTGTGAAACTGTATAATAAAGATATATGGCTATTGCTAGCTTATATTGAATGCCTAATCAGTATGCTTCCAGTGACCACAAAATTGCATGCTGTAAAGATTTCTTCTGAGTTAGAATCTCTAAATTGTTATTATACAAAGTAGATGTATGCTCAGCGATACACATACGTATGTACAAACCTTTGAGTTCCCTGTTGCTTCCATGTTTTCCTCCCTGTGCTGTTTAAGACTCAACTTCAATTCAGCACCACCGAGTTCTCAGATTTCTGACTTGGTTTCTGTATAGGGCATGTTACCTCCTTGTCTCGTAGAAGACAACTCATTGGGATTTGCCTTTGAAAAGATACTTGTGGGTTTGTGTGCTTAACTCCGTTACTCTATCTCAAGTGATGAGAAGTGAAGCGTTTGCTTATGTGATGCTTAAATCACTGCAGATGCTGCCAAGCCTGTCTGCAGGCACTTTCCTCGTCTTCAGGCACCTTCTTGTCTCCCCTCTACCTCTTCTTACCTGGACACTTGTGGGGTTTCTCAAGTGTGTTGGCTGCCACTGGCCTTGCTTTGCTCTGCTGTTCAGCAGTGGATCAGCTTTAAAAAAACCAACCAACCAAACAAAAAAAACCCCAAAAAACCAAACCAAAAAACCCAACCAAAACCTAGCAGCAGGAACTGTGCTATCGCCAAACAGCTGAACAGGAGCAGTGCCAGCGGCAGCAGCTTGTGTTTCAATGCTCCGCTATTGCTCATTAGCTGCAGGAGGATTAGAGCATGGGGGAAGGTGCCTGGACAAAGAAGAACAGAAAGGAGGTGGAGGAAATGGAAACTGAGAGAGACATCCTGGAAGGAAGTTAAAATGAAAACAAAAAATTAGTGTAGCTGACACATCTGCAGCCGTGTGAGGCATGAGCCTAAAAGAAGTGCTCTGTTTTAGGCCGTGAATAATTTGGCTGAAGTACACAACTGTTTCCAGGCCCCAATGCTTAAAAAACATTTGCTCATACAAAACCATAAATCCTGGAATTGTAAAGGTACACACAGCAATCTAAATATGTTTGTATGTGAAAAATTAGTTTTGCAGAGTTCATTTGAACTAACTGCAAACTAATAACCAGGCACAGTGTTTTCTTTTGATCTATGCTAAGTAAATTTGGAGGGTTTAATTACTATTGTGGCTGAGATTTGTTCTTCAGCAAATAATGAGTATGGAAAGGTTTAAGGTGTTAGTGCTATTTAATTTTTCAGAAGACATGTTTCACATGGTAATTATCTTGGAATATTTTTTCAAGTCGCATGTATATTAAAGATCTTTAATCTGTTTATTTAGTCCTAGGATAAAAAGTTTACTCCTGGGTTTGTGAATATTTGTAACTCTATAATGAAAATGGAATACAACCAGAAGAAAAATGTTTCTCTCCCCCTATTTGCTTATCATATAGAAAGGGTTAAGGTTCTGCTTTTTGCAACAGCACAATATATTTTTGTGGGTAGTTCGGATGGATTTAAGGCTTCAATAAGTAACAAGCTGAACTGTGGTCTTCCTAGCACCCAGCAGCACGGGGTCAGGGAGAGTTCCCCAGGTGATGGCTTCTTTGCTTCACAGCAAAGAAGGCTGCAGCTCAGGTCTCAGTTCACTGTCCCCTTTTTTGGCAGGAAGGGAGGGCAAATGAACTCACCTGAAGACTCACTTGCTGGATCTGTGATCTCTCTTGTCTAACATAAGATTGTCCGAAGATGAAAATAATTTAAAAATAGCTCCTTTCAGAGAACAAGGAGGTGGAAAGATGTACTAGCTGATGCTGCTTCAGTCTTGCCACGTCTAAGTTTGTGAATCTTGAACATTCATTTCTTTTGTTCACCAGATTTGGTTTTACTGTTGCTGTGATCTGCTATAAATGTGGCTTCTTCCTATTGTAAAACCCGATTAACGTAACAACTGAGCAAAAATGAGCTGTTGCGTGCTATTTTTTTTTTTTAAATTTGGAACTCTTGTTTATGGTTTGGTTTTGTTTGGACTTACCTTGAACAAACGGATCTGCTCAATCATGGTAGCAAGTCTGAAGATGGATTTGTATATCAGCAGCTGAGCTGTCCTTATTTCAAGCTGTTCTCTGTACAGTGGCATGGATAAGAAGACAACCTGGGTTTCTAGAACAGTGTATGTGTTTTCCAAAATTCCTTACAAACCTAGGCTAGTCACATAAAACTCAGCAAAACATATATAAATGTTTCCCAAATGAACCGTCTTGCAGCTCTCTGTATGTTCAGTGTGTCCCCAATCTACCTGGCATGTTGTAGTAGTGATAGAATGAAGAGCATGAATACTGATGGCTGAAACTTGTTTTCACTGGTCTAATTTGGGGTAGCAATGGAATCACTTAGGGAAAATTAAAGGTGGTGATGTAAGCTTAACTTAAGTCTTTTTTTGATATCCTGTAAATGTTTACTGTTATGCTAAATGTGTTTCAGCAGCCTTTTTTCACTCATGAGCTCAAACTTTTTCACTTGCATGGTAACTTAAGCAGCCCCTTGCCTTGGCCTGTGTATGCGCAAGTTTTGTAGAGGATTACTCATGCCAAGAGAGAATAGTTTGCTTTCACACTGAAAGCTGAACAAGACATTCAGCACAGTGTGCTCAGTTACAGTGTCTGTATAATGAAGAAAAGCAAGCTGGAAATTAATGGGTTTGGACATTGATCAAGATGTGAGACTTAACTAGCAATGCTTGTAAAACCACAACCATGATACTTGTCCTGGCATTAGCAGAAACATCAGCATGCGTGCACTTAAAGCACAGGGTGGGGAAATAACGCACTAAATGGGGCACTCGATTGCCTAGAGTTCAGTGTTAGTAATTTAAAATTCACAAAGTCAGAAATCTGAGGCTGTGATGTTTTCCTTTTCTGTGGCTCAAAACCAACGTGCATTGACAGTAGTTGGGCTTGTAGTATCACATACCACTGAAGAAGAGATGCAGTTGTGAGCGTGGGGAAAAACCTTTGTGTATACCAGATGCCCACCACTTACAGAGTGATGAATGTTGAGTCATCATTTTAGAAATTATATGCCACTTGTAAGGCCGTGGTTATTGTCACTAACAAAGTTTCTCTGATGTGTATTTCCCTCCAAGTCAGGTGAGAATGTTTCTTTTTTTCCTTTTTTCGTCTTCACGGCTTTTCTCACAGGATGCCTTTTCCATTTTTATTCTGCAGTTTGCCATGTGGGTGGATGCTGTTATATTTGTCTTCAGCTTGGAAGATGAAATTAGCTTCCAGACTGTTTACCACTACTACAGCCGTATGGCTAACTATCGTAACACTAGTGAAATTCCAATGGTACTAGTGGGAACCCAGGGTAAGTACAGTCTTGATTTACAAGTGTATTTCTGTGACCATATAGACTGTTCCAAGCTGGCAAAGCCATGTCCTGTCTTTTCCCCTCTCTTGCATCAGCACTGCCACTCATCTGATGATGAGAGCTTGTGGATAAACTGCCTGTTAATCAGCAGGGTGGTGTTCTTCCATCTGGGCTTCCTCGGCTGGCTTGCTAGAGGGCTGTGGCATTGCGAGGTCTGGTTTGAGATGGAGACAAATGTCTGTGCAGCACCCTTGGGAGAGGGAGTATAGGACTTTAGCAATGATGACTTAGAAGAATAATTAAAAAAATGTTTTCAGTGCTTTTTCAGTGCGTGGTGGTTTTCTTGATCAGCAGGGAAATGCTGATGTTCAATTTGGGCAGGTGAATCAGTTGTGTAACGAAGTGGTGAAGTGAGACGTGTTTCCTTTAGCTTGACAGTCTAGAAGTGATCAATACCTTGGTATTCCTAGGAGGCAGATGGGCCAGGGGTCGAAAACAGTCAACACTGTTAAGAAACAGAACTGAACTGTGTGCCCTTGTGTAACTTCTCATGTATACCATTCTTCAAACCAAGTGGAAATCGAGCTTTTAGCCTCCCGAAACAGGGAAAGGTACCATCAATATTTCAGTTGCTTTTGCATCTGAGCTGTCTTTTGGATATTCCCTGGCTCGTTTTGCCAGTGCATCACATTAATGTTTCAGCAGTTCCCCGTACTGTGGTTGGTTTGCTGCATGGAGTAGACAGAAAAGACTTGAGGCTGCTCTGCACCTGGCCATGTAGAAGTCCCTCCTGTGATAATTCTTACCAAAAATGAGTTCCTGCATAGGTGCCAGACTTTAGACTTCTTAATTTACAGCGCTGCTGTTTTGGAAGCATAGTGCAGACATTTTTGTGAAGTTCCTTCATACTAAAGCATTGCTCTCAATCTATGGTCGAGTTACTGCGCTGTGTTAGAGGGAGAACACAAGTGTCACGAGGTGCTATTCTAGATTTGATTTGGAGCATATTCCCTTTTGGTGTGTGCCACTGGTTTTGGTGATGTTGAAGCTTTTAATTGCTTTTTCAGTTTATTCTTTCATCAGCCTGTGGGCAGAGCGATTTTTCGTTCCCCTGCTTGCCTGTGGAGCTGTGCCATCAGCACTGCCACGTGAAGGCAAGGGGAAGCGTGGGCAGCACGGAAGGAGGAATTGCAACTGGGCTTTAGGCGGAAACAGATGATAAAAAATGAAAAGGGAAGTAGGTACATAGAAAGTCCTAGGATGGCAGAAACTACAGCCAAAAAGCAGAAGTGAACTGCTTTGAAGGGCCACGCTGTCAACTTAAAACTGGAGTTGAAAAAGGAGAGGGGGAAACATTTCCCTGAAGGTGCTTCCCTTTCTGCACTTCTGACACTCTGGGGTATGGTTTTTCTACCTCATTCTCATTGTCACCAGAAAAGAATTTTGTTTTTCAAAGTTCATTTTCTGTTGCAGCACTGATGCAAAGGGGATTTTTAAAATGTGGCTAAAAGTGGAAATCCTGCTAATTCTGGGAGTAAGCATCAGAAAAAAATACAACTTTTTAACTATATTAACTGTCAAACTGTGAAGTGAAATGAAATACATGTAACATATAAAGATACCTGTTAAAAAAACATATTTGAAAGATACCTGTGTGACACCCAGCTTGTTGGTTTCAACTGGTATTCTTGAAATGAGCTGTGAAATGAAATCTCTCCCAGAATGTTAGCACTTGCCTGATGCTTCCAGGCATTCTCCTCTGCCTTGCTCTCTGGCAGGACAGGCTGCAGCACTGAATTTGCTTCAGAAGTCAAACTTTTTGAAGCTTCAGAAGTCAAACTTTTTGAAGCTTCAGAAGTCAAACTTTTTGAAGCTATGGTGTTGCTTATCAATTCCTTTCTGGTTAAATGTTTTCAGCGCCCTCTGCCGATTAAAAAAAATCTGCCATTAGCTTCCCAAATAACCACTGTGTTTTTATTAATTAGATCTCATGAGAAGGTAGCGGTAACATCAGTTGAGATGTGGTCATGTCATGCCCAGAACTGAGCCTCAAATACAGCACTTCAATAGTCACTGACTTCATGCTTGTGTTAAAGTGATGGTTTTTTTTTTTCTAGGAAAGAAGATAGTTTTGCTGTTACGGAAAGTAGCAGATTTTTAGAAAACCTTTCTGAAATCAGTGCCTGTCATGGTGGCTAGGTGGTAGCTGCAGAGTTCTGTAGGATAGGTTGTGCTGCTGTCTCCCCTTACAACTTTTTTTGCCACATAAATTACTATGATACTGCTGGAAAAATAAAGTTGCAAGATTTGTTCATAGTATGGCATTATAAATAGTCAAACAATATAACCTTTGTAGAGTTCTTCGCTACAAGAGTAGCAATGAAGAAACTTCTCCTTCATGGTTAGCAGGTTTTCCCACCCCACGCACCCCCCGCTGCAAAGTTTTGTTCAGCTGCTATGGATAAGCTCTAGAAATTGCAGTTAAAAAGCACTCATGAAAAGTAGCTGTTTCAGAGAGGTACAAAGTATTATTATTTGTTTAGAAAAATATTATTTTTTTTGGCTGTGCAGTGTGTTCACACAATGTCTCCTGGGGGCCTTTAAATCAAGGTTTGAGACTCAGTCATTTGTGATGAGTTTCCTGGATCCAGTCTTGGCTGTGACTTGAAAGCCAGGTCAGCAATGCAACCTGCGAATATATGAGAAATCTCTGTTTCATCTTAAATTGGCGAGTGTCTGCCTTGACCAAGGCGTACTGTGTGCCGCAGGGTCAGGGCTGGGGTTTAGCAGAGCGCTTTGCTCCCAGCCCAGCCTCCCTAGCAGGCTGTTGGCGCTCTGTGCCTGAGCAAAACACAGAGAGAACTACCCTAAAAAATGGGAAGGACCAAAAAAAGCACACATGAGGAACTGAGGGAAGAGCTGGACCCTAGGTTTTTAGCACCATGATAATTGCAGTCCTGTACAGCTTGGTGATTTCTTATCTGCCATTGTGATTCCAACACCCCACCCCGAAGTTGTCTTAGTGTTGGATAACTTGTTGGTTTGGGGTTTTTTGGGGGGGGCTGCTTATTTTGGGTATTGGGGGTTTTTTTTGTTTGGGTTTTGTTTGGTTGTTTTTTTAAGAAAAGCATCTCTTGCGTGCAAATCTAACACTTTCCCCAAGTGTTGCAGTAATACCTGGTACGTTTCTCCCCTCATCCCAGTATTTCTCTACTGAAAATGTTCTTGTCCGTACAAACATGTCATGTTTTATGCTTTACACTCTACAGATGAAGGTTACTTGTAAGCTGGTGCCGGTGTTTATAGGAGTTCTAAAAACCATTTGACATGTTTATAGTCATAAGCCGTTTGTTCTTCTAAGTACATTTCACATCAGAGCTTGTGTTCTTTCATGTGATTGTGTATGTTTTGCAGTTAGTGACCTAAATAAATTTTTCAGGTAACAAAAAAGCATTTTAGGCTTTTTCCCTGGTTCATAGAATCACTCAGTATACTGGTGATTTTAGCAACAAAATATAAAACTGGACCAATGTGCATCCTTTTGTTTTTTGAAAATTCTAAGTGTCTCATGGTTTGTACTTAAACTCACTACTCGGGTGCTGCTAAGTGTAAGATGATTTTTTTTCAAATTATATTTAAATATGTTTGGGTTTTTTTCCTCCCTGCTGTTGTTGTAGATGCTATAAGTTCCAGTAATCCACGTGTCATAGACGATGCCAGAGCAAGGAAGTTATCAAATGATCTCAAGAGGTGCACTTACTACGAAACCTGTGCCACTTACGGACTCAATGTGGAGAGAGTCTTCCAAGATGGTAAAGACTGCTTTTTTTCATCCAGCATATCACACAACACTGTAGCTGTTTTTTTAAATAACCACTGATGTCTGATAGCTCGCGTACTTGGCCTGTTTTGCAAGTGTTCATTAATGTTTAGTTAAAAGAAAATGCTCTGGTTTAGGGATTTATTTTGTTATACTGTCAAAAGTAAAGTAGAACTTTGTTACGCTGAACACGGTACATGCATGGTGGTGTGTTCCTTACCAGCACCTTTAGTCTTAAGGTACTTTATTTAGTCTTCATTTATTTTTCAGTTTTCTTTGGTGCTTGCTTTATTTTAGCAAAATTTTCTTTGGTTTGCTTTAGTGCTAGTGGAGATACTGAAAGGCTGTTTGTGCAACGTAGTTGAAAAATTGTCTTGTACATTTGAGAAAGTGAGAATAAACTGAAAAAAATGATAGGAATAGGGTAATGATGAGGAGTAACTCATGGCACTCGTGGAGTGTTAGAAGTTGACAGTCTCATGTAGGGGTTTAGAAGTAAAGTTGGCTGCTTAAGGGTGGTTTAAAACATCATTAGCAGCAATGTTCTAGTTTGCTTTGTAGGAGGTATTCGGGATCATTGTGTACTGTCTCAAAAAAAGAAAAGGAATAACAAAAGTGCTTTCTGACCATCTGTAACTATTCTGGAACAGTTACCCCTTGGAAGAACTTCTGTGGCTGGCAAAGCGATGCTGAACTTGGTCTTTGCTGTATGAGATGGGCTTTGTGCACCCTCTAGTGGAAATTCAGCCAGGTGTCTTGGGGCTTTGCTGTCTTCTAACCACGGCTGTCTAGTGGCTGAACATGTCAGCCCTTCATCACAGCAATTCTTCTGTGTGTAAAAACCTTCTTACTATGGTGAAATACTTTTCAGAGCTCCTTAGTTCTGTGGCTTTTTTGTTGGCAGCTTTTCATTGCAAAGACCTGCAGCGGCTGTGGTTATGTGAGACAGTGTCACATCAGTCTGTATCAGAGATGAGTACAAAGACAGCTAAAACTAAAAATAAAAAGGCAAAACATTCTAATTTTTAAACAGAAAAAAGGCGAAACATTCAAAATTTTAAATGGGAAATAACTGACTGAGGAGTAACTCATGGCACTCGTGGAGTGTTAGAAGTTGACAGTCTCATGTAGGGGTTTAGAAGTAAAGTTGGCTGCTTAAGGGTGGTTTAAAACATCATTAGCAGCAATGTTCTAGTTTGCTTTGTAGGAGGTATTCGGGATCATTGTGTACTGTCTCAAAAAAAGAAAAGGAATAACAAAAGTGCTTTCTGACCATCTGTAACTATTCTGGAACAGTTACCCCTTGGAAGAACTTCTGTGGCTGGCAAAGCGATGCTGAACTTGGTCTTTGCTGTATGAGATGGGCTTTGTGCACCCTCTAGTGGAAATTCAGCCAGGTGTCTTGGGGCTTTGCTGTCTTCTAACCACGGCTGTCTAGTGGCTGAACATGTCAGCCCTTCATCACAGCAATTCTTCTGTGTGTAAAAACCTTCTTACTATGGTGAAATACTTTTCAGAGCTCCTTAGTTCTGTGGCTTTTTTGTTGGCAGCTTTTCATTGCAAAGACCTGCAGCGGCTGTGGTTATGTGAGACAGTGTCACATCAGTCTGTATCAGAGATGAGTACAAAGACAGCTAAAACTAAAAATAAAAAGGCAAAACATTCTAATTTTTAAACAGAAAAAAGGCGAAACATTCAAAATTTTAAATGGGAAATAACTGACATGCACTGCACTAGGTGTCATTCCAGATAAGGGTGTTTTTACCCATCCTGTTAGTAGGATTTCAGAGAAGAGCATTTAAAGCTGTAGCTTTGTGCTTTGCTCACTGTTTTCAGTAGAACTAGTTGCAGAAATTACTGTTTTCACTGTCTAGATTTTTTATTTTGAATACAAGTTTCAAAGAACCATTAGGGGGTTTTGTTAGTGCATTTATTTTTGAGTGCTAGCTATAGTTAGACTTCTAATTATATGTTCCAAGTCGTGGTGTTTGTGGATCTTTGTACAGCCTACTAAGGGACCTTTTGAGAGAGGAGTCTCTTGGCAAAAAGCTAGTGTGGTAAACTTGTAAGCTTCCAGGGAGCTTATTTGTGTGTCTGCTAAATTGCAGTAGTAAGTAGAAATAATTGAGAAACATTGTGTGTTTAAGAAATATCAAGGCTTTGTTTTACCTACATGGCAGTCAACCAACTATGTAATATTTGCCAACTAACAGGATTAGGAATGCTTCTGTATGATTGTGTTACAGTTGCCAGACTGGGACCACATCCAATTCCTGATAATTTCTGCAGTTTATTTCAGCAGGAAACAAAGCAACTTCTTAACCCCATTAAATGTGAGGGTGTGAATGAAGAGCGCAAGTTAGGGAGCACTTGATTAAATGACTTGGTTTGTGCAACTCTAGGATGTTCAGGTTCAATGTAGGCTTAACAATGTCTTTTAGTGGCTTCTTCAGAGGGTTCATGTAGTCTGTATGCAGACCTTTGAAAGACAAGGGGTGGAAGCGCAGAAGCTTGAAGAAAACTTCTAGTTTTCCTCTAGAAAAAGGATATGAAATATGATTGTAATGTACAGCAGCAGGCTGACTCGCAGGGAGATAGGTGGTATGTTGGGGAGGGCTGTCACTTGGCACCAGCAGCGCTGTAGGTGCTGGCTGTACCACCATTGCTTTAGTGACCATTAATACTGTGAAAGCTTTTGACTGATGACAGTAACTTTGCATTTTTTACTTTTTGGGCAACAAACAGGCTACATCTTTGGTGAAATTGTATTAAGCAGGAAAGAAAAGCTAATATGAAATGTACACTAGTTTTACAGACACACACACACACACTCTCCCAATTTTGTTCCTACTTAATTGTGTAATGACAGGCGTCATTGTATGATGATAAAGTGTACACAACCACAGCTGATGTGATTTAGTAAAATTCCCCACAGTGGCTTGTGACTTGACAACGCTGGCACATCAACTGTAGAACGTTTTAGGTCTTCGTGAGTCTGACAGTGTGCAGCCAGTCTGCTACCTTGCTGGCTTCTGCTTAGTATTGCAACTTCCCTGAAGCTGATGAGCTACTCCAGTTTAACTTCCTCATCTTATGCTAAAGGAATTGGGCTGCCTCTTCAACAAGGGAGCCAAGGGTCTGCCTGGTTGCATGACTTTGACCCCATAACCATGGTTTAATTTGTTTGTTTGTTTGTTTTGGGGTTTTTTTGTTTGGTTTTTGTTAAATGCAAGGTAATTCTCCCATACAACCCTTGAGGGACTGCCTGTTCGGTCTCCCTCAAGGGACTTCTGAGCCCTGTTAGCTTAAAAGCAAGCAGCACAGGGCATTGGTTAATAACTTCTCTTTGTGTTCAGATCCTCTCCAGAATAAATGGAGCCGATTATCCAACATCAGAAAGCCTAGTCTGACTTTAAAAAACACTTCTTGATGTAAATACTGTCAACGAACTAGGAAAAGAAAGAGATGAGGGGTGGAGGAACAGGCCAAGTAGAGGTCTTCATGTCGTATGCTCTTCTGCATTTCTTACTATTTTGAGGAAACCCTGCATCATTGCCAGCAGCCTTCATAAATTAACTGTGTTTTTCAGCAAACTTGAAAGTGGTACAGACCAATTACAGCATTTCATTCGTAGATGAATGGATAAACCAGGGTTTTTTTATTGTTTGTAGCTGAGGAAAAATAGTTGCTGACAAGTCAGTAGCTGTATGCAAGACACAGAGCTACTATATCTATTAAGACTGCTTTCTGTGTATTGAAATTGTTTCTAGACTTTGCTCCCAGCTGGATTGGTATCTGTTCTTGGGGTTCAGGTATAGGATTTAATCACTATTTACTATATTCCATGGTAGGTAATGCTTGGTGTTTAGATCCTCCAGGTGTTTGCTTTGGTAGGTCTGTGAGGCTATTTCAGTATGTTGACCAAGGTCCCACAGCTTTTGCTGGCTTGTTACTTTGATGAATGCTTCACTTTTACATTTTTAGGATAATGTTGATGACAACGGGTGGTTTTTTGTTTGTTTTAAATGTAGATTTTGTAGCAGATGCAATGGGCAAGATTAGGTTTGGTTTAGTCATGTTAGCTTCAGCTTTCTCACTTTGCATGCAGTGACTCCTGTCTTAATCAAGTCAAACACTGTGCAATGGTTTGCATCACCTGTGATTTACATATATAGTTTGCGGTCCAAATGCACCCTATTCTTCCTCTCACTCTTCTGTTTTTCATGAAGCTTGAACTGCCAGTGAGTTGTTAAATCTGAAACTGTCTTTAAACTTCCAATGTCCAAACCCCTGTTACCAGTGCTAGTTACAGCAGGCTTGGCTTTAATATACCAGTTAGTAGCTTTGTTACAAAAGGTGCTGTTTTACAAGCTTTTTTTTTTTTTAGATCAAGTTTCTGGTTTCTGCCCTGATGTGATGTAGACCTACCTTTTGGATGAAGAAACTGGAAATGCATTGAATGGTGTTTTATGCACTTCTTCATTGGACTCACATTAGAAATTAAACTTCTGGGGTTTTTTTTCCCCTCTGCAAGCACCCACTGAACCCTGTTAGTGGTCGTCTAGTACGACTTTTGTCTCTTATAACTCATTCCCTGGTTTCCTTGGTTGAGGGGTAGAATAATTTGAGTGGTTGTTATTATGAAAATAGTGCTTTATTCTTTAGTTAAATCCAAATACATTGTTTGCAATGCTTTGTTACAGTTGACAAGCTCACTATTGCTTATAACAGAGTAGGGTCATACTTTTGTAACACGAACGCTGCTTTACAATAATATTGCACTTCAGTCTGCAGAAACTTTATGAACACTGGTACATAATTAATGTACACTTATGTATTTTTAGATAACTGTTCTTTAATGTTTTAAGAAGCTGAAAACCGTGATTTGTAAACAGCAGGTAGTTCTTAGTCCTTTGAAATTCGTGTATGAAGAATTGCTTGTTTTCCCATACCCTAACAAGAATTCACAAATTAAACTGTTTCGATAGTGTG